AAAAAATTCTCAAAAAAACATCTCGATGATTCATTTATATAATGATTTTGTTGTTATTCACTAAATTGTCATAAAAATGATTTTTTTCTTAATTTACTTAAAAATGAATCATAAAGATGTTTTTTTGAGAATTTTTTCTTGTGAATCATTTTACAAATGAATCATCTAGTGATTCATTTTTTTGTTCGTGAAAAAACTATGTAGAAAAAAAAACTTCTTACCTTCCCACCAAAAAAAAATTCTTACCGGATCTATATCTTATATATATATATATATATATATATATATATATATATATATATATATATATATATATATATATATATAGGGTTAGGATCAAATATGTATCATAAATATTGTGTGAATGTATAACCAAAATTTATCCATTAGATTAAATAAAATTAATGGATGTTATTTTGGGGTACATTGTATTAACATGGGATGTCATTTACTGGATAACTGCACGTGATTAATTACAGGTTTAAATTTGGCAGTTTATTAAGAGGGAGAATCAAATATTAACTACATTTTAGGCAACTAAGTGAAATTAATTAAAATAATAAATAAAATAAAATAAAAAGTAATTACAAATCGTAATATATTATGAAAATGGGGATCAAACATTTCTCAGAAAAAATAATTCGACATTTTTACAGAAATATTACTACAAAATTCTTGAAGAATATAGTATTCTATCTTCCACTTTAACTTGATTTTAAGAAGTAAACCTTCCACTTTAACTTGATTCTAAGAAGTAAGGAACGAGAACAAGTTGAATATACCAATAAATCAAATATTCTTTTAGAATTTAGGATAAATAATTAGTTTAACTTAAAAACCAATAAAATATTCTTTTAGAATTTATGATTAATTAATGCTTTAATATGTTTCATTTTGTATACAACTCAAGAATTCTTGAAGAATTGAAGTCTTTGTAGCTATAACACCACAAATATTTTATACATATGAAATAATTCTTGAAAAATATATAGTTTTCTTACTTTATAACACCACCATTTTTTATACTACTAAACAGTTATTGAAGAATACAATGTATAAAAAATTTTGTGTTTCCACTTTACTCGTCATCACAAAACACCACCATAAACGACTGTAATTTTTGAAGAATTCGATCATTCTTAAAGAATATTTGAAGATTAGAATATCTAAAACTTTTTTTTGTTTCCACTTTCCCCGATTGATATTATTTAACTCTTGCATCACCATCCTCTCATGACATCAACCTGCATAAAAACACACCATAATGACTTCAGCATCACAAACCATCACCTTCAGCCACTGTAATTCTTTAAGAATCAAAATTAATTCTTTAATAATCAGAATCCACTCTTTAAGAAAAAAAAAAAAGTTAATTCACGGTAAAAAAAATTATGCTTATTTTTTAATATTGTAGATAGAAAAACAAATAAATTTACATTGATGTTATATAGAAAAAAGGTATTTTAGTCAGTCTTAGTCGTATAGATGATGGAAGAAATATTTCTTACTAGTTTGGTCATAACCTAACTATGGTTCAAACACTTGAAACATAACTTTAAGCTAAATCCATAACTTTATAATAAAAGACCAAGGAATTTAAAGTTTGTCCTGATCGAATAGGAAGTATAGGTCGCCATTCAACTTGTAATCAAGTGGCACCTGCCTCGCTTTCATTGAAAGATCAATATTTTTCTTGCCATTTTCAGACATGAATTATGCTAAATATCTATAATAATCTTGTTTCCTACAAGAAGAATGAAATCCTAATACAATGATGCAAAATCTTGAAATGGGTTGTACAAAGTTGGAAATTATGTAAGTTTTGAACTTACATCTAGTAATGGAATACAACGGATTCACCAGAATCACCATATGAAAGAAGCACCATATGAAGGAATGAGATGATGATCATGACATGCATTAAATCAATGGAAATGATATTGAGCTCTGATTCCACTTCTCTCAATACTTCCTGATATATTTGCATTCTGATCATTACCTCGTCATTCCTATTTTGGCTCTATTAATGACAAAAAGCTCAAAGAAGCTCTCATATCATCAATTACTTTTTGTACGCAACTGAGTGCAAATTACACTATTCTTTAATTTTTTAAGGAATTTAATATCCAATCACTAATAAATCCCTAATCATGAATTTTAGTGTTTAGTTCTTGAAGAATAAAAGAACATCGAACCTGTTGGGGAGCTTCCATGTCATCATAGTCCACTGTTATCAGGAAATTAGCAGTATTCTTAAACTTTGATTTGAAATCCTCGTGTAACGTAGGACTTGATCTCCGACCCGTCATTCTTTTTTCCTACACCTTCAATTTCCAAATTTGAGACGTTAGAACTATGCTCCTGTTTTGAAGTGTGAAAATTAATCGATAAGCCCCCCAAGTTATAATCCTTGACTATTCTTTAGCAGTGGTTGTAGATTGATGATGGATTACAATACTTTAGTTGTGAGATTATGGATTGGTGAAACGATCCGAGATGGATGAAAATCCATATGATGCCGATTTGTGTGTACCACCCCAACTTGACCTTTCTTCTGATTTAAGCCCTACTCGGCCAAATTCAACCTCAATTTTGTCTTTCAAAATCGAGGACATGTTTGATTCTTCAGTTATACAAGGAATTTCAGTTGATCTAAACCTTAATCGACTTGGGATTGTTTTGATGGTTGCTTCTTCATAGATGAATCTAGTGATGGGTGTCAGTGGTGAGGCTCTAGGTTATTTCAGGGGGTTTATGGTGGTTGGATATTGAAGACGATGATGGACTTCATAGGGTTCTATTGGCGATTTTTAGTGGAAAGATGGAGAAGACAGTAGATTTGCGCTTGAACGGATTAATTTTACTTGTGGTCAAATATATCTTTATAATATGTAAAGGATATCAATTTGATTCCAAAATTATAGTCTTACATTTTAGGGTATTTAATTAATGGTCATATCTATTGATTGATCTAGAATTGACCATACATTCACACAATATATAACGATTATATATAAACCTAACTATATATATATATATATATATATATATATATATATATATATATATATATATATATATATATATAGGTTCATGTGAGACGGCCTAATTTTGTGAGATCATGAGACGCATTTTTTTATTTATTTTTATTTTTTTTAGTTAATTCATGTTCCGAAAATAATATTTAAAAAAAGAATTTTTGAATTTTTCCATTTATTTTTCACTTTAAAATTATTTTTTAAAATATGTCAGTGTAATATTCTATTAGAATATTTCACGTATTTTTTAAAAAAAAATGAAATTTATTTTTATTTTATTTTTTTTAGTTAATTCAAGTTCCGAAAATAATATTTAAAAAAAGAATTTTTAAAATTTTCCATTTATTATGCATTTTAAAATTATTTTTTAGAATATGTCAATGTAATATTCCAATTAGAATATTTCACTTATTTTTCAAAAAAAAAAAACGGATTTTTTTAAAAAAATTTTTAATTTTTTTTTAGTTAATTCAAGTTCCGAAAATAATATTTTAAAAAAGAATTTTTGGATTTTTCCATTTATTTTGCATTTTAAAATTATTTTTAGATTTGGTCTCACGGTCTCACAAAATTAGAATAGTCTCAAATGAACCTGAACCTATGAGACGGCCTAATTTTGTGAGACCGTGAGACGCATTTTTTTATTTTTTTTATTTTTATTTTTATTTTTTTTAGTTAATTCAAGTTCCGAAAATAATATTTAGAAAAAGAATTTTTTGATTTTTCCATTTATTTTGCATTTTAAAAATATTCTTAGAATATGTACAGTGTAATATTCTATTTAGAATATTTCACGTATTTTTCAAAAAAAAAAAGGATTTTTTTATTTTTTATATATTTTTTTAGTTAATTCAAGTTCCGAAAATAATATTTAAAAAAAGAATTTTTAGATTTTTCCATTTATTTTGCATTTTAAAATTATTTTTTAGAATATGTCAGTGTAATATTCTATTTAGAATATTTCACGTATTTTTAAAAAAAAAAAAAACGGGATTTGTTTTTTTTTTTTTAATTTTTATTTTATTTTTTTAGATAATTCAAGTTCCGAAAATAATATTTAAAAAAGGAATTTTTGTATTTTTTTCATTTATTTTATATTTTAAAATTATTTTTAGATTTGGTCTCACGGTCTTACAAAATTAGAATGGTCTCAAATAACCTGAACCTATATATATATATATATATATATATATATATATATATATATATATATATATATATATATATATATATATATATATATATATATATATAGATCCGGTAAGAAATTTTTTTGGTAGGAAGGTAAGAAGTTTTTTTTCTACATATTTTTTTGACGAACAAAAAAAATGAATCACTAGATGATTCATTTGTAAGATGATTCACAAGAAAAAATTCTCAAAAAAACATTTTCATGATTCATTTTTAAGTAAATTAAGAAAAAAATCACTTTTATAACAATTTTAGTGAATAACAACAAAATCATTATATAAATGAATCATCGAGATGTTTTTTTGAGAATTCTATCTTGTGAATCATCTTACAAATGAATCATCTAATGATTCATTTTGTTTGTTCGTGAAAAAAATATGTAGAAAAGAAACTTCTTACCTTCCTACCAAAAATTTTCTTCTTATTTGATCTTGAATATATATATATATATATATATATATATATATATATATATATATATATATATATATATATATATATATATATATATATATATATATATATATATTAAAAAAAAAGTTGCATGGCTGCAATTTTCGACCTTGTCGTTATACCATGCTCATTAATTTTTATTTGAGTCAACAAAGGACATGCAAACAAAGTACGGACATGGAATCATCCACCTACGCATTAACCTGTCTATAAATATCACTTATACTCGACAATATTCCTTAAGACAAACACGTGTTTGCCTTTTTAAGGAAAACAAAAAGAGTCTACAAAGATCCATATAAAGTAACAGTGTGAAAAATGTCTTCGGTGTATGTGAAAGAGGTAACAAGCAGCAGCGGTGGTGGAAGCAGCAGATGGTATCCGACGCCGGATCAGTTGATGTTGTTACAAAGAATGTATAGAGGCGGCCTGAAAACTCCATCTGCAGCTCAAGTACAGCAAATAACAGAAAGATTATCCAGTTTCGGCCACATACAAGGCAAGAATGTCTTCTACTGGTTTCAAAATCGCAAAGCTCGCGAGCGACAAAAGCTTCGGAAGAAGTTCATGAATTTGTTCCAGCAACATCACCTTTATCCTGCTCATCATCAGCCCGGTCTTCCTCTTCATCATGTAATTATTCAACTCCTTTATTGATATTACTTTGGAAAATTAATTAAGTAGTCATTTATATATCTTATTTTTCTAATCTGGGTTTAGGTTAGTGGACTTGAAGATGCATCAAGCTGGAAGGGGGATCTCCCATCTGCTCAAACCTGCAACCTCATCTGCGATTGTCGATTTGTGACTATGATGATGATGGATCCTGGTGATATCGCTCCATATTGCACAAGAGTACCACCCAAAACCCTACAACTCTTCCCAGTCACAACCACTATCTCCGCTGATCTCAAACAAGACGATGTCCAGCAATCTCTAGCCCAATTTTGACTTCGGTTATCTTTGTTGAAAGTGTTAAAGACTATGGTAGTGAAAGATTAAAAGCAGTTAGGGTATCGATCCTAGGGTTAACTAGGGTTAATTAGGACTAGGGTTTCAGAATAAGTTGTGGGTTTCTGTTATGTCACCAGATCTTTGCATGTCAAGGCGTGCATACTCGTAATATATATCTAATATTATTGCCTAATAACCTAGCATTCAGTATTTTATTCTTGATGAAAACTGGAGCGACTTTTTCACAATCTTGGAGTATGCACCGGCATTTGCAAACCTTCTATTTTGTTGGTTTCGTATGTTGTGTGTTTTTGAATTGTTAGACACACCAAACAACAAACTCTGCAGACACATAGTACCTAAGGTTGGTGGAAAAGTTTAGATGGTCATTACTCACTAGTACGTGCTTTAAGATTTGCATATATAGACAAGTTCACAAAGTCAGCACTAATTTAATTCTCTTAAAAAGATATTTTATGTAACTACCACGTTTTTAATTGTATAAATTTAAGGAAAAAATCAAACTATTATATTTGCACCTTAATATTTAAATGTCATTTATATCTTTAATAAACTTTCAAAATATTATATTTCCTTTTTTATGTTTATAAATATTTTTATAAGTATTTATTGGAGTGTAAAATCATTATAGTTATATCGAAATTTAAAATACCTATTCAACCCTTACTTTTATTTTGTAGGAATAAGTGGATCGAATATATATATATATATATATATATATATATATATATATATATATATATATATATATATATATATATATATATATATATATAGAGAGAGAGAGAGAGAGAGAGAGAGAAAGAGAAAGAAGTAGGTTCAAATGTTTCTCACAATTATTGTGTGCATCAGGGTCGGTTCTAAAAAATAAAATATTCTTAAAGGTCCAGGACGAATAAGAAAAAAATGGTCATTATCTTTATTATAATTTTGTATTTTTAAAGAAAAATATATAATAAAAAAATTAAGCTATGTGCAGCTGCCCACTTCCCCCCTCCCCCATTCTAAGCCCCCCATGGTGTGCATGAATGCACCAATCACAAATTAGGAAAAAAATAATTAATTGATAAATTGTTTAAGGGTATAATAGTAATTTATACAATATTTAATTATTGAAAATATTCAAAACATTTAATATCCCTTTAAATTAGGATAATCAATTTTGAAACCCTACAAAATCATCTTGTTCAGCATCATCGACACATACTACTTCGTCTACTTATTTCTCTTCAAATATCGTCGTTCTACACCTTGAAAAACATATTCCACCATCGCCGATTTCATCTCCAACAAAATCTGCAAACAGTTTCTTATATACTCGTTGAAATAACATCGTCTTCACCCCACCAGCACCATCGTTTCATTCCAATCATCGTCGGCAAGAGGTTCCTCATTCTCCAAGATGTTAACAGTCGCCAGCAAGAAGTTTCTTATTTACTTTTTATATTAACATCCGCCGACAATAAGGGTGGATTGTAATGTTCGTTCTTGAGTCTCATTCTGGAAGATGTTCACGTAAGTATTTTTTTTCTTTCGTGTAATTGCTTTTTCATAATGCATTTATAATTGCATTTGCAAATATAATTACCTTTTATGTGGATATGTAATCTTCGTAAGATACTCGTTTCTTACAATTAATTGTGTAATCGTCGTAAGTAATTTTTTTCCCAAAAATTTTAATTCAAGTGTATGTTTATTAGATGCTTATGTAGTCTCAAAGAGTAGACTATGAAATAGATAAATGATTTTTTTCTTGATTTTATGGGCCAAGGGTTCAATATGATAGGTAAACCGTAAGTTATCACATTTTGTCAATTTTTTCATTTTGTTCTTGCGGACTGGAGTTGGCTTTTGTGTATATTATTAGTTACATCAATTTTTTTAAGTTTTATGAATCAAAGGAACAAGTTTGAATAGGTAATAGAATTAAAAAAGTTTGTATCTTATTTCTTATAGTTATTCAACTTTTAATATCGTCAATAGTTTTGCTAATATCGTCAATAGTTTGAATACCGTCTATTATATATATTATATCTTTACTATCTTATAAAACAAATCCCACTATTTCTAAAAATAGATTGAATAAAATAATAATATTTTTTTAAGACGTCCAAATCATTAAGCTAATTGTACAACTAATCATTAATAAAATAATATTAAAATTTAAACAAACTCCTATAAATCTTCTCTTCCAAAGTTTTGATCAAATCTTTTTTCATCCAAATAAATACTCAACACCCTATAATTTGATCATTTCATGAATTTTCTTTATTTTTGATATGACATGTTTCCTAAAACAAACTAATGATTGAATTGAAAATAATCATTCTCCATCGAAAATAAATTAATTGTCGAAACAAACTATTTATCGCCCGCCGCTTTGCGCGGGTAAACGGCTAGTATATATATATATATATATATATATATATATATATATCACTACTAGAAAACTAGTCCAATAGCTACAGCACAATCCATAGCTATTCCGTAGCTATAAGCAAATTGCTACAGAATTGCTACGGAAAAATGGTTGTAGCATAATGGCCCGTGGCTAAATTATAGCTACGGATTAGCTACGGAATTGCTACGGAATAGCTACGGAATTTTCCGTAGCTACCATAGCTACGGAATAGCTACGGAAATAAATAGCTACGGATTTGCTACGGAATAGCTACGGAAATGGATAGCTACGAAACTAAATAGCTACGGAATAACTACGGAAGTAAATAGCTACGGATTTTCTGTAGGTAATCCGTAACTAATTACTTTTTATTTTTTAAAAAAAACAGCACAGAATTATTAAAAAATCCAGCTTTTTTCTGTCCAAAATATTGAAAAAACCATTTACATTAAACTTATAATAAAATTGAAATTCAACTACAAAACAAATAATATTATAATAAAACTAATAAACCTAAAAAAAGTATCAAATACAAAATACATATTACTAATGAATATTGTCTAATAATACACATTAAAAGTGTCAACTACAAATGTTTAACTAAATGCTTACAAACATAAAATTGAGAATTACTTGGTGGATTACTTGGCAAATTATCGGGTATGTTGAATCGTTAAAGGCTCACAAGTGTTCTTCAATTTGAGTTTTGAATCAAAGGCTTCCAATTGTTCCTGTTTCAACACATCATAATCAATGATCACGAAAAATACAAATATAGCAATGTACTTTATTTATTTGTTTATTATAGCCATAATTAGGAACATTGAGCAAAGGTGAAACAATATATATTGAGCAAATGGGAACAGTTTGTCAAACTTTTCCATATATCTTGCAACAATTGGGTATCATGCTTATGTAATAGTTTAGGTTCCATATACCGAATTTAAAGTAGTTCATGGTAATTGCAGAAATCATAAAATAATAGCATGACCAAAGGCTATTGAGCAATATATTAGTGAAAATCTAACTCATAGATGCATAGTAGTTACACAAAAGTTTACTTAATCTTACCCAAATGCAAATAGAGTCCTTGGATTATGCTTTTCTTTCCAACCACTTAAGCAAATTTAGTTGCAAGATACCCATAAACATGAGTTGGATTTAAAAGCAATCATTTTCTAGAATTTATGCAACCTACAAACGACATGGTGGTGTGTTGATGCTTGATTCAAAATAAGCATTTTATGCAACCTACAACTTGAACAGCCCTAAGAACAGAAAATTCCTCTCTTTTCACATCTAATATTCGAATTTAGTGCTTCTAAACATAAACTCATAGCTCAATAACTCGATTAATTATCTCCACTACAAAGAAAGTAAAAAAGGTACCAGAGTCTTTTAAATCAACATGTACAGGTCTCAAGCGACTATTGTAGCATCTTCTCCCTTTTCAACCTGTAACAGAAGAAACAAATAGATATAAACAATATATCTAATCCCAACAAAAGAAACAGATATAAGTTAATTTGTAACTCAACCAAAAATATAGGTTCACTTGACTATAACCAATGTATGCTCTTCAAAATAAGTTACACAACAATTATTTAGCTCAACCCTAACACTTATCCTATGAAAATCATTTAAATCATCTTCTATGTTTGGAAAAGTTTGACAAAACTGAAATGGAATACAATAACATACTAATAAATACAAAGATTTCCAATGAGGATTTAATATATACTATCGATCATATATATATATATATATATATATATATATATATATATATATATATATATATATATATATATATATATATATAATGCCTAGTTTATTCAATTCAATCTCTTTTATTTGAAAACAGGAAGAAAGGTGGGTGGTGTGTAGGGTTTTCAAGAAACAACTACCCGCTATGATCAGGAGAGCAAGCGAGCATGAACCAATCTGGTACGATGATCATCAAGTCTCATTCATGCCTGAAATCGACTCACCATCACAAAACAACACATGATCCAACTTGGGTAACACTGGTTACCAATACCCGTATGGTTCTTGCAAGAAAGAACTAGATTCACAGTTGCAAAATTACCAGATTACCCTAGGCCGCCGTCTCCAACTCCCTCATCTAGAGAGTCCAAAACTTCTCCCAACCTGTAATTCTTCAATGCCCATTAACTATGGTATCGACATAAACCAACGAAGCATCAATCTACAGCCTACCTTGTTCACTCAACACCATAAGGGAATGAACGCCTGAAAAGAGGTTTACGATGATCATCAGGACTAGGTTTTCCTTTGTGGGAGAAGAAATCGAGCAAAGAGGGTTAATGACGGAGGACTATGCTACCGGAGAGGGAAGGAACGCCTGAAAAAAGGTGAATGCGCCGGAGAAGGGACGAGCTACGAGGGGTTTTTGGGTACCGTTCAAAGAAGACAGAAGGGAGGAAGACAGAAGCGAGAAGAAGTGTAGGAGTCGATATGGAGCCTGCTAAAATGGAGGCGGAGACGGTCAATAAAAAATAAGAAACCCTAAATTGAAGAAGGACAGGAAAAAATAAAAAAAATGGGGGTGCTA